AAAACTACATACGTATTTTGTGTTTGAGTATTTGTATTGCGTTGTTTATATTTGGTAGCCTCTAACCCGGTAGGAAAACCATGGACAGCATCAAAGCAATTTGGCTTTAAGCAAGCAAACAAAATTAATTTCAATTTTGTAAGCGCTGAACAAAGACTGTAATTAAATCGAATAAAGGTTGGATATAGCTGGAAGTCATAATAAATGTCAATATTGAACATGAAGAGATTTATATAGGAGGAATGTTTAAGAGGTGTAGTGATAGGTTGTAAAAGTGTTAATGTTAAGGACCAATTCTTTCCATAACAAAAGATATCGTACGCAGAATTGGATCTCCAATTCGTAAGGATTCAAGGCTCTATTGGCCAGAGATTCAAAATGCAGCGAAAGCAATATCATTCCCTTGATATCACTTCATAACAACTCGAGATTAGCCAGAGATTCAAAATGCAGCGAAAGCAATATCATTCCCTTGACATCACTTCATAACAACTCGAGTTTCTCTCAGAGATAGAGTTCATCTCAATCAGCTAAACCACAATTTACTCTTCTCTTTACTACGATCCTAGTCCCTCTTAGCTAGAATTCGTGATCTTAATCAGAACAGTATCAAGCGGTCATCTCTTTACATCACCTTAATCTCAGAACACATAATGTGATATTCATTCTGCAACGTTGTAAACCTCTTTAGGTCGAAGATCTCAAGAGGTTAGATCATCAAAGATGATCATACAAATTGGTTCATCCGAATCACTTTAAATCAGATAACTAAACCACTAATTTGATTTTCACTTTACAACGAGCCGAGTCTCTCTTGGCTAGAGATCGTGATCATAGTTACACTTTAAAATGATCCGTGCCTCTCGCGACCGATTAATGCGATCTTCGTTAAAGTTCTATCAATCGTTCATCTCTTTACACCACAATCATAGAACCCACAATGTGATCACCACTTTTCAACCTTCCGATGAACATAGAAACAGTTGGGTTCACCAACTGATCTTTACATTATTATATATCCGAATTTCTCTCAATCGTTTGACCCACAATTTGATCTCTACTTAGTAATCCAAACGAATCTTTCTCAGCGATAATTATCCATTTCTTTACATGACTTTAATCACACAATCCGCCATTTGATCACAACGACATTGTGAATCCAACGTAATCTGTATCAATATGATACATTTATTTAACCGAAAGTTTGATCTTCACTTCGTTACAATCCGACACTCTCTTGACCAGAGCTTAACACTGCAAAAGAAGTATCAATCGAATGTGCCAATCGGATGAACCTTTTCTGGATTGTGATTGATGACTGACTCAGCGACTTGCTCACCACATAGTTTACCAAAGAACACAACGTCAAATGAATCACGCTTTGTGAACGGTATAGACGAACTTAACCCTATATTCCGTTTTCTTAGAATGTTCGGTTGGAATATCTAGGATTGCGGATCATAACAATATTCCAGATTTCCCGTTCATCAGCCTTATATGTATAAGTTGACAGATCACTCCAATTCAACCTAAATATTTCATTCATTCCGTAGAACGTCTGGTTGTAATGTCTAACACTGGTTCCAATTCCAAGAATACAAATACATAACTTCACTCGTGACACCGATCTAATATGCTTCTCTTTAGAGAAATATAATCCAATCTAAATTTCCCCGTGATACTGCTGCATAATTAGTAGGTTTTGAAAATTTCGGTTAGAATTAGGGCCGAAAATTTTTGTAAAATTTTGGTTCAGATTTTTTTCTTTTTATTTCATTTTACGGCAGGTTAGAGCCAATGAGTTTTGGCAGATATTTAGATAATTTGTGAAGATCCTGTTTCAGATTATTTTTTCTTTTTATTTCATTTTACGTCGGGTTTAGAGCCAAAGATTTCTGGCAGAAATTTAGAAGCTTTGTAAAGATTCTTCTTCAGATTAACTTTCTTCTTTTTATTTCATTTTACGGCGGGTTAGAGCCAAAGATTTTTGGCAGAATGATTTGGCAAGATTCTTCTTTAGATTAACTTTTTTCTTTTTATTTCATTTTACGGCGGGTTAGAGCCAATGGCCATATTTGAAGGAAATGTAATTAGTGCCAATATTTTCTGAAGGCATTGACATGCATCTCCACAAACCAATTCTGAGATTTTTAACGTTACACGCCTCAATTTTTTTCTTTTTATTTCATTTTACGGCAGGTTTTGCATTGGAAATAATACACTCCAAAGTTAGTAACGGACCTTGGTTGATCAATAATGTCCGACACACAAAAACACTTTCTTTCTTTAAATAATGAATCATCAAAACACTCACTGTTACCTCTAATACCCACACAATTTGTCACCAATTTCCTATTTGGTATTTTACCCTTTTATATAATTTTTCACAACTATGTATATAAAAATTTTCTTTTTTGTATTTTTAAAAATTCTCTTTGATGTTTTTTCCACAAACTATATAGTAGAGATTCATTCACATCATCATCATCGTTTTATTTCTTTTTTGTTTGACATAAAGAAGAAGAAAAACAATTTTTCAAAAAAAAAAAAAAAAAAAAACGATTTGAAAAAAAGTTCAACTTCTGTATGCAAATCTTTTTGTTGACTTTCTTCTTAGTTTTTTCGTTTTTAATTTCTAGTTTATTTTTTTTTTTAATACAATTTTTTTGTTTTTATTTCGTGTCTTGTCACTTGTTTTTAAAAAAATATTGCCTCAAATTATTCTGTATCAAAAAGAATTAAATAAAAAAGAAATTCTTCTCTCGAAATGTTGTCAAAAAGTCTTAATACTATTAAAGTATGAATAAATAAATACAACAACAAACAATACTAAAACAGCAGCAGTGGGAGAAAAAGTGCAAAATAAAACCCAAAAGTATAAAAAGAAAGAAAATGTTGTAGGTTCTTTGAAATGTTTTGAACTTTGTTTAAGTGCAGGTCAATTGGTTTCAATTAATGTTGTTGTTGCTGGGGATAAAACTTTCATTTGATGTTTCACCGTTTATGGAAATTTTCTTTTTTCATTTCTTAAGCAAAAACATTGAATTAATGATTAATAAGAAGCAAGAAAATAAAAGAGAAGCTTACGAATATGTAAATGTTTTAATTTCTTTATGTTTCTTTTGATGCCTTTTAGTCCTTACCGGCAAATTTTCCTGTTTTTAAGCTTTAGTCTTTGCTTTGATGTGGAAATTCTTTAATTATTGATTTTGCGGATATTTTCATGAAACACAAAGACGTCAAATTATTAAATCATTACATCAAAAGGCGTAACTTGCAATTCAAAGAGAGTGTCTAAAATGTTCAAAGGACTTTTTATAGAAACTTAGAAAAATGGCTTCCAATCCTACAGGAGGGAATGAAAAGTGTTTCACTAAAAGTAAAAAAGGACTATTAATATATAAGTGAGACACTAATAAACAAGCGCCTGTAATAAGGGCCATTCAAAGCAAATAGGTAAAACTAAAATAGAACTGAACTAGAACAGAACTAGAACAGGACTAGAACAGAACTAGAACAGAACTAGAACAGAACACAACTAGAACATAACTAGAACAGAACTAGAACAGAACTAGAACAGAACTAGAACAGAACTAGAACAGAACTAGAATAGAACTGGAACAGAACTAGAACAGAACTAGAACAAAATTAGAACAGAACTAGAATAGAACTAGAACATAACTAGAACAAAACTAGAACAGAACTAGAATAGAACTAGAACATAACTAGAATAGAACTAGAATAGAACTAGAACCGAACTAGAACAGAACTGGAACTAGAACAGAACTAGAACAGAACTAGAACAGAACTAGAACAGAACTAGAACAGAACTAGAACAGAACTAGAACAGAACTAGAACAGCACTAGAACAGAACTAGAACAGAACTAAAGCAGAACTAGAACAGAACTAGAACAGAACTAAAACAGAACTAGAACAGAACAAGAACAAACTAGAACAGAACTAGAACTGAACTAGAACAGAACTAGAACAGAACTAGAACAGAACAGAACTAGAACAGAACTAGAACAGAACTAGAACAGAACTAGAACAGAACAGAACTAGAACAGAACTAGAACAGAACTAGAACAGAACTAGAAGAGAACTAGAACAGAACTAGAACAGAACTAGAACAGAACTAAAACAGAACTAAAACAGAACTAGAACAGAACTAGAACAGAACCAAAACAGAACTAGAACAGAACTAGAACAGAACTAGAACAGAACTAGAACAGAACTAAAACAGAACTAAAACAGAACTAGAACAGAACTAGAACAGAACCAAAACAGAACTAGAACAGAACTAGAACAGAACTAGAACAGTACTAGAACAGAACTAGAACTGAACTAGAACAGAACTAGAACAGAACTAGAACAGAACTAGAACAGAACTAGAACAGAACTAGAACAGAACTAGAACAGAACTAGAACAGAACTAGAACAGAACTAGAACAGAACTAGAACAGTACTAGAACTGAACTAGAACAGAACTAGAACAGAACTAGAACAGAACAGAACTAGAACAGAACTAGAACAGAACTAGAACAGAACTAGAATAGAACTAGAACAGAACTAGAATAGAACTAGAACAGGACTAGAACAGAACTAGAATTGAACTAGAACAGAACTGAACTAGAACAGAACTGAACAGAACTTAACTAGAACAGAACTGGAACAGATCCTGAACAGAACTAGAACTGAACTAGATCAGAACTAGAACTGATGTAGAGAAAGTACTTTTCTAAATTTAAAAATTTTGTATTTTAAAAGTTTTTCACATTCTTTCCTCAATTTATTAAAGATTTTCTCTGTTTCTTTGCAGCTAAGGCCAACATGAACTAAATTAATAAATTAAAGACCAGCCCACAAACATTTTAAAATAAATTACAAAAAAAAAAACAACTAAACTACATAAAAATATAAAAAATACAAGTGCCATTAAAAGCGAAAAAAAAAACTTAAAATTATGAATGAGACAATTAAAAGTAATAAAGATTAATTAAAAAACCACGCTGGAAAAATACAAAAAATATTTACGAGAGAGAAAAATTTTAAAACAATATATAAAAAAGTGATAAATTAAAAAAGAATTAAAAAGGAAATACTGGAAAAAAATTGCAGAAAATCTTTTTTTTTAATAAAAAAGATAAAAACAGAATAATGTTGACAGCCAGGCAAGTTTATCATCATCAACACAAATGTTTAAAATTCAGCTAGAAATAAATTACAAATTATCAGTAGTTGAAGAATATTTATAAAAAATACTAAAACAACTAAAACACTTTCAATCGTAATAGTCATCGTAAGTAAATCTATTCCCCCCATTTGAAAATTAATGTAAAAATATACGAAAACAAGAAAAATGCAGAAATTACACTCATCAACAACAAGAGCTACAACAACAACTACAACGACAACAATGACGTTTTATAATCTGTTGTTGCTAATAGTTGGCCTGATATTGTTAATGTCATTAATGCCTTCGGTGACATCCGTTCGCCATATTGATAATGATGAATACAATTATAATGATGACAGTGAGATTGTTGTAAGTAGTAGCAGTGGCAGTAATGGTAGTGGAAAAACATTAAGTGTAAATCAACAGCAACAACACTTAAAACAACAGACACAACAGCAGCAACAGTTATTTGTTAGACGACGCAGCAGTAGCAGCAGTGTTAGCAGTACTAGTAATAAACCAACCAATAGAAGACAAAATGAATCACAACACTGGAAACGTTTTAATAAACAAAATTATGCCAACAACAACAATTATAATAAACATAATTTATATAGCAACAATAAACTATCAATGGCTCTAACAAAATATCAAAGTTCTGAAACACAATATGCCGATGATGAAGAAGACACTGATATAAATGATAATAATTATCATTCATTAGATAATAATGATTCTTCAGATGATTCGGATGATGATGATGACGATGAGGATGCTACTGATAATAGCAATAATAATAATAACAACAACAATAATAACAATATGGATGAATCAATGGATTCCAGAATGTCTACAGATGTTAAATCGTTTATACATGCTCCTTATGGTAAGTTTTTCTTTAATTTTTTATAAAGAATTTAATTGTTTTAAAATGAAAATAGTTTTTACATAAAGAAATCTCTTTAAATTGTATTAATCTATGAAATTGTTTAGTAATTTGTAATTAGTTTTTGTTTGTATTTGGCAAAAGTTCATCCGAAAGGTTATCTCTAAATTAAGTATAATACTGATACTAGACATCAAGACAGACTAACGAAAACTAGTAAAACACAAAAATACTAAAAGTTTTAATTTATAACTGAATTTGAACTAGAACATAACTAGAACAGAACTAAAACAGAACTAGAATAGAACTAGAACAGAACTAGAACAGAACTAGAACAGAACTAGAACAGAACTAGAACAGAACTAGAACAGAACTAGAACAGAACTAGAACAGAACTAGAACAGAACTAAACAGAACTAGAACAGAACTAGAACAGAACTAGAACAGAACTAGAACTAGAACAGAACTAGAACAGAACTAGAACAGAACTAGAACAGAACTAGAACAGAACTAGAACAGAACTAGAACAGAACTAGAACAGAACTAGAACAGAACTAGAACAGAACTAGAACAGAACTAGAACAGAACTAGAACAGAACTAGAACAGAACTAGAACAGAACTAGAACAGAACTAGAACAGAACTAGAACAGAACTAGAACAGAACTAGAACAGAACTAGAACAGAACTAGAACAGAACTAGAACAGAACTAGAACAGAACTAGAACAGAACTAGAACAGAACTAGAACAGAACTAGAACAGAACTAGAACAGAACTAGAACAGAACTAGAACAGAACTAGAACAGAACTAGAACAGAACTAGAACAGAACTAGAACAGACCTAGACAGAACTAGAACAGAACTAGAACAGAACTAGAACAGAACTAAAACAGAACTAGAACAGAACTAGAACAGAACTAGAACAGAACTAGAACAGAACTAGAACAGAACTAGAACACTAGAGAGAACTAGAACAGAACTAGAACAGAACTAGAACAGAATTAGAACAGAACTAGAACAGAACTAGAACAGAACTAGAACAGAACTAGAACAGAACTAGAACAGAACTAGAACAGAACTAGAACAGATCTAGAACTAGAACAGAACTAGAACAGAATTAGAACAGAACTAGAACATAACAGAACAGAACTAGAACAGAACTAGAACAGAACTAGAACAGAACTAGAACAGAACTAGAACAGAACTAGAACAGAACTAGAACAGAACTAGAACAGAACTAGAACAGAACTAGAACAGAACTAGAACAGAACTAGAACAGATCTAGAACTAGAACAGAACTAGAACAGAACTAGAACAGAACTAGAACAGAACTAGAAAGAACTAGAACAGAACTAGAACAGAACTAAACAGAACTAGAACAGAACTAGAACAGATCTAGAACAATCTAGAACAGATCTAGAACAGATCTAGAACAGAACTAGAACAGAACTAGAACAGAACTAGAACAGAACTAGAACAGAACTAGAACAGAACTAGAACAGAACTAGAACAGAACTAGAACAGAACTAGAACAGAACTAGAACAGAAATAGAACAGAACTAGAACAGAACTAGAACAGAACTAGAACAGAACTAACAGAACTAGAACAGAACTAGAACAGAACTAGAACAGAACTAGAACAGAACTAGAACAGAACTAGAACAGAACTAGAACAGAACTAGAACAGAACTAGAACAGAACTAGAACAGAACTAGAACAGAACTAGAACAGAACTAGAACAGAACTAGTACAGAACTAGAACAGAACTAGAACAAACTAGAACAGAACTAGAACAGAACTAGAACAGAACTAGAACAGAACTAGAACAGAACTAGAACGAACTAGAACAGAACTAGAACAGAATTAGAACAGAACTAAAACAGAAATTAATTTCAAAGAAGTCCTCAACTTCTGGAAGCCATATCAATTCGAAAAGGTGTCACCTATATTTGGACATATTTCCTCCTGATTACTTCTGGGGATGGAATGATAGATACATAAAGATTTAGTTTCAGAATGACTTTAAAAACTCAATACAAACACCGTTGGAAGAGTGCTGATGGTAGGAGGTTTAACTATATTTAACCTTCGTTTTTGGAAGATATTTAGAGAGGAAGTATAGCATTTTCATAACTAAATCTTTTGTTGTCCTCAAATTGATTTAGAACTTCATAATACTGTCTAAGACCCCAGTACCATTAGAAATCATATTAGCAATCGCTATTCATGGCTTATAAAGACGGGGTGATCACTCTATAAACATACCTCGGTATCCCTTAAGGAATACATCGAGGTAAATATGTGATTAATAGCTTTAATCTGAGTTAATTGGCCATTGTAAAGCCATATTAGGGCTTAGAAAATCGAGACGTTTTGCTAGCAAAAAGAAAATGTCACACGTTTATAGGGAATTATCGTCGGGACCCTGTGGTCTGAGATAGCAGGAGGGCATTCTTAGGCATGTTATGACGTGACTATGTAGATTCTATGATTTTCAAGAAGAAATCTATTACGGAGGTTTCTTTCAGGTTACTTACTAGCAGATATTACCAACTCTATATCTACATCTGATCGTAATATTGCATGTCTTATACTGAAATCTAGTCTGTGCTAGAGAAAGGTCATGATAGTTTCGAAATAGTTCCAATATAAAGGGTTCAATGTATAAGCTCCATGTTAGAGCTCCAAAACTTTTAAGTTAAATTTATATTCCACATCAGTGCTTGCAAGTTTCTTATCAAGTAAATGCATTTTTTATGTAAACTAATTACGTAGTATTTTCCATTTCTTGACAATTTGCGATAATTTATTCTCAGAAACATGTAATTTTTTTCTTAGCTGCGCAGAAAGGAATTTTACAAAAGAAGTAGTGACTTTTCAATAAATTCTTGTAAGTCTTATCGCTTTTTTAAATAAAAATGAAATAAATGCAAAATTATGGTGTAAATAAATATTATCAGTAGTTTGGAATACAGTGCTGTACTATAAGACAAACGTTAGTAGTCTAAATAAGTATTAAGATTTAAGCATTGGGTCCACAAACTGAAGAAGTGATTCATGTTTTCAGAAATTTGAAAATAATTCAATATTTTATAGAAAAAAACATAAATTCTTACCTCTAGCATAGTTTTAACAAAATTAAGTTGTTGTAGTCGACTTACCTAAAACGATATAAAGAAAATGTTATTTTATTAAAATTTTTATAAAATAAAATCAAAATTCTCTTATTTCTAAAAACTGCGTCCTCTTATCCTTGTAAAAAATCATAATTTCTCTGGATTCCTCGCAAAACATTTCAAAACCCATCTCGTATCTAAATTATCCAACACTTTCAAAAACATAAACAAACACCAAGTGGTTGTTGTTCTTCTCAACATTAATGTAAACAACAACATTTTACACATACACTCTCACTTCTTCACTCACCCTCTCACTCACAGTCTCACAACACTTTAGGTTTCCTTTTTATAAATGTGGCTAAAATTTTGAGTTCAATTTTGTTGCTACAACTGATATACTATAAGTTGTTTTTATTTGTTTTGTTAAATTATTTATATAATGATGAATGTTTGTATGTAAATGTTTATTTCATTTCACATATACAAACATAAACGCCTCATTATTTTTCACACGCATTTGTTTACAAAACATCACCAACAACCCGAACAACAACAACAACAACAAACAAACTGCAACTAAATTTGTTTATAAAAAGTAATGGCCATTTATTAAGCAATTAAAAACAACAAATTAACAACAACAATAATAATCATCATTAACATTATAATAAAGAGGAGTGGAAGTCAAGTGTGTTCTTAGAGCAATATGCAATAAAAAAAGAATCAACATAAACAATCGTAATAAAATACTTGTCAAATATTGAGGACAGAAATGCGTTAAAGCTTTAAAAGTTGTCAGGAAGTAATAATGAAATTGGACTATGGAGCCATTTATACCTAGTCCGGACATAGAGTCATCTATTCTTAGTCTGGAGTATAGAGTTACATATTCGTAGTCTGCATTATAGAGTCAGATATAACTAGTCTGGACTATAGAGTCGTCTATAGTCTGGACTATAGAGTCGTCTATAGTCTGGACTATAGAGTCGTCTATAGTCTGGACTATAGAGTCGTCTATAGTCTGGACTATACAGTCGTCTATAGTCTGGACTATACAGTCGTCTATAGTCTGGCCTATAGTCTGGACTATAGAACCGTCTATAGTCTGGACTATAGAACCGTCTATAGTCTGGACTATAGAACCGTCTATAGTCTGGACTATAGAACCGTCTATAGTCTGGACTATAGAACCGTCTATAGTCTGGACTATAGAACCGTCTATAGTCTGGACTATAGAACCGTCTATAGTCTGGACTATAGAACCGTCTATAGTCTGGACTATAGAACCGTCTATAGTTCTGGACTATAGAGTAGTCTATAGTTTGGACTATAGAGTCGTCTATAGTCTGGACTATAGTGTCGTCTATAGTCTGGACTATAGAACCGTCTATAGTCTGGACTATAGAACCGTCTATAGTCTGGACTATAGAATCGTCTATAGTCTGGACTATAGAGTAGTCTATAGTCTGGACTATAGCGTCGTCTATAGTCTGGACTATAGTCTGGACTATAGTCTATAGTCTGGACTATAGAACCGTCTATAGTCTGGACTATAGAGTAGTCTATAGTCTGGACTATGGAGTAGTCTATAGTCTGGACTATAGAGTAGTCTATAGTCTGGACTATAGTCTATAGTCTGGACTATAGTCTATAGTCTGGACTATAGTCTATAGTCTGGACTATAGTCTATAGTCTGGACTATAGTCTATAGTCTGGACTATAGCCTATAGTCTAGACTATAGTCTATAGTCTGGACTATAGTCTATAGTCTGGACTATAGTCTATAGTCTGGACTATAGTCTATAGTCGTCTATAGTCTGAGCTATAGAGTCGTCTTTAATCTGGACTATACAGTCGTCTATAGTCGGACTACAGAGTAGTC